ATCTAATCTTCCTTCCCTTCCCTTCTTCCCTTCCCTTCCCTCTTGATATATATACATATTCTTAAAATATTTATTTATTTATGGCTGTAGAGGTAAAAGAAGAGAATCCTTTTATACTTGAGTTTTCTATCCAAAATTAATTCTGAAGAAAATACTACAAATTTTGCTAGAAAAGTAAAAATGATGAACACCTGCATCCCTTGCAGTCATGCTGGTTTCAAACTATACTGAGGTGAAAATGATAAACCAAGGCAATTTCATTGTTTAGCCACATACTTTGGGAAAGAAATGAAGGTAGAGCAGCTAGGAAATTAAAAAAAGAGTGAGTATGCAGCATCTAGATGAATGTTATTGAAGCGAAATTAAGAGTAAGTAACCACTAGAGATAATTTATAAACTATTTTGAGACTTTATGAATCATACCACAATTTAGACATAGAAGCCAGATGAGACAGTAATTCTATAAAAGAAAATAGTACCCAGTACTTCTGTCCACAATTTTAAACATTCTTAGAGCATTTTGAGAAGGGATCATTCCTGGGGGAAAAATGTGGTACTGCATTTTGGAAGAAATATTACCCACATATTCTAGGGATAAAAGGATGATGGGTGATGTCAGTTTGTTTATGTGATGTTATGTTTAAAATAGGTAAAAAGTAATCAAATTTGAAATATGACTAGGAGGACAAGAATTCTGGAATTTTCTCCTGTTAGTATTTCCCTTCCAAAGGTATATGTCAGTGGTCTTGCTATAGTTTGTGCAGGAAGTTGGCAGACAAATGAAACGTAACTAGAATGGCAGACAAATGAAATGTAACTAGAACAATAACTGTGTTTACCAGTACTGAAAAGCTATCATAAATGTACCCATTCTAAGATTAACTAAGTTAACTTCCTACCCGCATTTTTTTCTCCCAGTGCCCAAGGGTTTTGCAGATGTCTGTCACATTGCTGTCTATGGGATGTTCATCATTTCCTTTAAAAAAATTAAGAATATCTCCTTTTTTTCTGCCTAAAAATACAAAGTGTTCAGTTGGGCATTTGGACAATTTGAATTAAACTTCACTTTAATTGGTGTTTTTTTTATTTGATCTGACCATAACATTGTATTATGTGAAGTACAAATTATAACCTGTAGATGAATGAATGAAGCAAAATTAAGGGTAAGTGACCACTAAAGATAATTTATAAACTATTTTGAGACTTTTTAATTTTGTTTCAAAATTTGTTGTAATTAAACATCTGCAATAAAATATATAAAATCCAATAGAATGAAATCATACGTGCTTCTTTTCCTATATTGGAAAATTCCTTTTAATTCAAGATGCAATGTTATTGTTACCCTGAATCTTTATAAACAAAAGGCAACAGCCATCTGAAGCTAGGGCTGAACTTGTAGTTAGAACCACTAGATTGAGATATCTAGTTTTTGTTTTATGGCCAAATAGCAGAACACCATGAAAGTGCAAGTGTCTGAAAACTTGTTCTTTGATGTTACATTCTTACTAATTCTCTGAGTATTAAATAATTTCTGATTAAGCAGAATTTTGGAACAGATTTTCTTGTTTCCAGGCCAGTACTTGCCTACTTTTCCACACTGAGTTTCTCCTTGGCTTGGCCTTGTTACCCAGTTTACTGAGAAAACCATCTGCCATTGTTTTTAAAAGGTGAATTTCCTGCAGAATTATTTTTCTGATTTCTGGAAAACCTAAAAGAACCTTTTGCTGATCCTTCCAAACAAATGTTTTAAAATATAGGCATATTTGATAGATGTGTAGTACAGTTTGCAGTACTAAAAAAAAGTTATTAGCATTACAAAGCTTATCTTACCTAAGGAAGGGGGGTGTTGTCATGAAGACACTATATTGTGGGTAAACCAGAAAAATCAGGACTGCCTTGCCTAGTTAACTTTCCTTTGGACTTTAGAGGGGTAAGGGCAACACCTGGCAGGATCAGCTTGCTTTGGCCCTCACTCCTATCTCAGCGTGGGAGGATGAGAGTGGATGAAGTCTGTGAGATCATTTTAAACTTCCCAAAATGTTCAGTAACAGAAGCTGTGTGGGGCTTTGATATTTGACTTGTGTTTCTCTTCTTGATAGAATTAGTTGCAAGCCATATATTAACAATGGTTCCCTGTGCTATGTTTTATGGAAAAAATGGATGATGTTGAAGGTGGAATTTAACTGTTAAACTTCAAAGCATCCCTGTATCATGTGGCAGAGTCAGGGAGGAATCTGGCTCCAGCCTCAAATTCAGTTTTCAGGAAAGTTTATCAGGGTTTGGGGTAGTTTGCGGTAACCTCATTGTCAAGGTATTTACTTCCTCAGCAGAGAAAAATCAAGCTCATAGCAAGAGTTCACAGTCATGCCCTCCCTATAGTGAGTGTAGCAAAGAGATTTTGTTTTGCTGCCTCCAGTGCATCTTCAAGCATTTGTCCAGCGCATCTTTTGTTGTCATCTACTCTGGAAAATGTCTTGCACTGCAGCAAATGTACACAATGTTTTGAAGTTTGCTTTTCTACATAATAATGTTTCAGATTTAATTAAAATATTCAGTATATCATCTAGCTCAGTTGTGTGGAATCTGCTTCGTCTTTTGCAACCTAAGGATATGGTTGTGACGCTTGTAGTTCACTCAACCATTTGCCTTCCTGACCTTTGCCCCTTACACATCATGTGAAGCCATTTGGCAGGAGTGAAGGGAGTGACTATTATATGAAAGGAAAAACCTCCATAAACCCAAAGGTTTATAGCTATCACTATTAATATTCCTCTTTGGGGCAAGGTGATTGAATTTATGGCTGTGATCCAACTATAAGCATTTTTTGAGATTAATACTTTTTATGTTGGTATTTCCAGCCACTGACTCCTTTATTATTTAATAAGGTTATATTGTTGTAATTTGCTTTGGGGTTTGCATAAATAAGTGTTTTTTCAATATTTTTTAAAGTATTGGGCAGGGAGTGGGAAATAAGTACCTAGACCTGAATCTGTCTAGGTTAACTCCATGCTTTTTAAGACTCTTGCATTTAAGTTGGAATAGGGGACTACAGGGAAGTAGGATGGCAATCTTTTCAATTAGCAGATCTGCTTGAGGCTTATAAATGGCTGAGATTTTACTTCCCATGTTTATGTAGGATCTCATGCAAAAGCACTGAAATCTTGTGCAATTTGGCCTAATTACTGTTCCATTGGTGGTATTTAGAGATGCTGGGTACTGTGGTACCCAGAGGCGTTACATTGTTCATCTCTGGACTAGGGAAAGTGGGTAACATTGAATAGTGTAAAAATGTTCAGTATATGGACCTATGTTGGTGTGCTCTGGATTTGTTTCTAGATTATTTCCTATTTTTAAGAATAGTATATGGTCTTTCTTTACTTAAAATTTGTTAAAAAGAGGAAAAATTGGTCCAACTATTTAACAGGTTATTCCTTGTGGAAGGGGATTTCCTGATTATGCCCTGGATTTTCCCTATTCTGCCCCAAGGAAAGGTGGCATCTCTCCATTCAAGAATGCATGGTGGCAATTAAACTACTTGACCAGGTAGAACTCTTCCATGGGGGAATACCCACACCCAGGTATTGTGGAACTCAGGTAGAGAGAACATAAGGGTGGAGATCTCAGGGAGCAATTTGGCAGGCAGGTATTGGTTATAGTGAAAGAGTGTAATGGTATGTGGGAAAGACATTGGGAGACTGGCGGGGAGAGGGAGAGAAATGCTACCTAGGGAACGATAACATAAGAGGGGTTATAGCCCGCAGCTGCATAACGAACAGAGAAATTCAGAAAGGGGCCTCCCTAACTTATCAGACTGTAAAAGAGATGGCGAGATATTTGTACTTTCAGACTTGCAAGATTCTGTTAATGTAGCATTACAGTAAAGTAGAATTAGTTCATCTGGTCATGTTTCCTGTCTGGTCTACCTGGGATGGCCAACAAAGAGTGAGACAGTACCCTCGCTGTCTCCCTGCTACACATGGGTAAATCTTCTGTTAAGCTCCAGATAGCACATCCAATTGTGATCAGCTGTTGATCATGATACTATTTGATTACTCTTCAGTTTGCTCAGTATCATAATCACCTTTATGGTGGCTGGTCATCCAGCACTTCTGATTTTTCTTTTCTTTATAATTCAGTTTAAAAAAAACAAACTGTGGTGACCCAAATGAGTTCAGAGCCCCTATGAGCAGGGTGGGAGAAACCTAAGCCTTTCTTTGCTTCCTTTGTATCCCCATTTTGCTCTCCCTCCAGATAAGGGGGGCAGCAGTAGAGGGTTGAGGTCAGACTGCCAGCCTATTTTGCAGCTCCTCCATTCTGCATTAGTATCCAGTGCTGGAAGGAGCTAACCTCTTCCTGCTGTTTGGGTGTCATGCTAGGTTGTGCTGTCGGTAAATCAGTGATGAATTGTTGTTTCAGATTATGGTTATAATACTTCATCTGAGTTCATCCCATGCTCATACCAAGCCTTACCACAACACTTTTTAGTGGTGTTATACAAATATATTCAATATTTATTTATAAAATTTATAAGCCACCCAACTCCCAGCAACTCTGGGCAGATTACAAAATGTTAAGAAAGACATTTAAAACAAGAAAACAACATAAAACAAAAGCAAAAATGGCAGAGATAACTACCCCAGATGGGAACAAAGAAAAAGAAGAAAAGGGGGTTTCAATAATTGTTTCTTAATAGCTTGTAATGCTTCTAGATGAACAGTGATTTCAGGCTTTATTGTAGTCTGGTCCCTAACATGGTGAAAATGAAAAGGATTCAGGGGGTTTCAATAATTGTTTCTTAATAGCTTGTAATGCTTCTAGATGAACAGTGATTTCAGGCTTTATTGTAGTCTGGTCCCTAACATGGTGAAAATGAAAAGGATTCCTTGATTCACTGTAATTTGAGTTTAAGTTTGGGTTCAACAAAAAATTTGCTAGCCTTGCTCCTACAAAAACCAATATCTTATAAGGGACAGGGTTATGGTAAGGGGAAAGCTCCTACTCCTTTCTTCAGTTCTAGACTTTGAACTATCAGGTTTTACAGGGAATGAAGCTGTAGAATACTACTTCTATTTATATATTGGGGATCCATACTCAGTCAGTGCAAAATTGCCGTGACAAGCCATCCAGGGTTTTGTGAAAGTGTCGAATCACACCCGGAATCAATAATGGACATGATTATTTGCAATAGATTAAAGCTCAGTTTTGATCTAATGAAAATATTACTAGTGGATCTAAACTTCTTACAGACATTTTAATTGTTTTTCCCATTTGTATTCACAGTCATCTTTTTTCCTTTCAGCTTTACTCATTGAATGATTATAAACCTCCTATTTCAAAGGCTAAGATGACACAGATTACCAAGGCAGCAATCAAGGCCATAAAGGTAGGAAGATGATTACAAATATCTGTTAGCTTTGAGTGGTCCAGGTAATTAGTACAGTGCTATGGCCAGGTGTCCTGATCATTATCTCAATTTCACTTTTAAAAAACTTCAATGTAAATTAACATTTAATATGTAGAACATGCTGGACATTTGTACATTCTGATACTGATTGTGGTATTTTCTTAATTCTAAACAAAAGAAATTTGTCTGGAAACATGTTAAGTATTAAAAATCACATGCATCCCTGTAGCTCTAATTCTTTGGGGCTTTTAATTTATAGCACACACATACATACATACATACATACATACAAATACATACACACACACCCCAAATGGAATTTTTTTTTCACATCGAATAAATAATGCAGTCAATAGGTAAAAAAAGTTAAATTTGATATTTGAGATAAAAAAGCATTAAATATTATAAACTAGAATAGATGGTGTTTGATTTACAGATCATGAGGAGTGGTACAAATGAATTATGTAGCTGTGCTTGCAGCCATTACAATTATCTCATGATTTTATAATTCTTTAATATTAAATATTCCAAGGTATATTTATCTCACTGCTTTCTTCGAGCTAGTTTAATCTGCTGAATAGGTCAACATCTTAGGATTTTACATTTACTTATTAAATATATAATCTTTCGATATATTTAATGTAGTTATAGACATTAAAAGGAACAAAAGCCAAAAATAATAGATCCTAAACATCCCATCCAATAGAGGATTTCCAAGAAGATACTGTAAAATGTTTTTTCTTCTTGCTGTGTCCCCCTTTCCCTCTAATAATAAAGTTAGTATTTGATCATGCATTTAGTCTGCAAGAAGAGGCCATTCCTTCCTTACAATGTTCTTACACTCTGTTTTCTCTTAAAGGGAATATTTTTAAAAATTTCCAAGAAGATACTGTAAAATGTTTTTTCTTCTTGCTGTGTCCCCCTTTCCCTCTAATAATAAAGTTAGTATTTGATCATGCATTTAGTCTGCAAGAAGAGGCCATTCCTTCCTTACAATGTTCTTACACTCTGTTTTCTCTTAAAGGGAATATTTTTAAAAAAGGACAAGGAAATAGAATGTAGGAAGTCCTCCAGATGTGGGTCCTGAGGGTATCCTTCACCGGATTAAGTAAAATACATTAATAGGAAAATTGCTAAAACAAGAAAGATGACTTATTTTTATATAGTGGAACCTATTGAACAAATTATGTCTTTTTATTTTAGTTCTACAAACATGTTGTACAGAGTGTTGAGAAATTCATTCAAAAGGTAAGTCACAAAACAAAACATGAATGACCCATTATAGTTTTAATAATTTAAATACTTATGAATCTAGATGTTTAAATATAGATAAATGTAGTAAAGGTAATGATGTTACTGGATATATTATCACAATTTACAATCTGATAGGGGCGCAGTAGGTTTTTTTCCCTCCATGGTACAGTAGTAGAGGCAAGTGTGAAATGAGAGATGTTGTGTGGTTCAGTCCACTTTTTGTTTCCTTCAGATGGATCATTTTGCAACCAGCAGCTCCCTTGGGTCACAAAACTTAGCATGCATGACAGTTTGCTTGTCATCTAAGGATTTCAGCTAGTATATGTGTATGATTTGAATTCAGGCTAGTAAGAGCTCAGCTTCCTCTGGAATTCACTCACACATATTCAGAGTAACAAAACAAGGGCACAGATTACCTCAGATGGCTGTCTCTGCGCTAAATAACAGTTGCTCTACCAGAGATTGAGAATATATGTATTTGAACACCTTGCCATGTCATGTATGGCCATTTGCTTCCCAACTACCTAGAGTACTTGAACAGTACAATAGAAATCAGGTGCTAGAATAGGATAACCTCAGCCTAGCATGGGTTTAACATTTGCTCTCCATATCAGACTCAGTTGCCTAGCAGTCTTATTGCATTTGTCTGTAAGAGCTGGCAACCTCAGTGCCTGGAGGGAATACTCTTGTTGCTTGTCCTGTCCAACCTAAAGTCATCCTATGTGATTGGGGCAAATTTTGAGCAACACAGTTGATACTAACAAACTACACATGATGGGCTGACTTTTTTATATTGGGCCCACTCATCATTACATGTTCTACAGTTTGAATTGTCCCCATCTCACAAGGGTATAATCTCAGTTCCAGAAGGACTTTCATGAATTGACCTTTTATAACTGCTGTGTGAATTAAATCGAGTAGCAGAATATATGTTTCTATATTTATATATGGTTAACATATGAAGGTAATCTGCAGGCAAACCAATAATCTGCCCTTTGCCCCTTTTAAATGGGGAGCAACCATTTTTTTCTCTGTCATTGTACCTGAAAATCAGTGTCCAGCAATCAGTTTCTCATCTGTCTTTTTGCTTCCATACAATCATAACTTCATAGATGAAATAGAGACTGATTGAATTAGTTTTGGAGTTAAGTCACTTCTGCCAAGTATTGACATAGGTATTCTTTAACACCAAGGCTAAATAATTCTCTGAGGGTAAATTTTGGTGTGCACTGATCCAAAGGTTCAGAGGGTCCAAGCTAAAGTATCAGTTGCAGGATGACTACTTCCAGTCTCTGTCCAACTCTCTTAACACATCTGGGTAAACTCAAAATAGTCTTCGGAAACTGACTTTTTCCATACTTTTACTGAATTCTGAATACCAAAGTTGAATGTCATATAGTAATTACTAAATTATGTCTTAGCTTTATACACTAACAGAGCTGAGAGGATGTATCACAGTCACATTATCTATTTTGTGAGCCAGGTTCTATATCTCAATGTGAAGCTGTATCCATCTGGGTTATGTGCTATGAGGAGTGATAGTGGCTATGAGGAGTGATAGTGGCTACAGTGACAGGTATTCCCTGACTCTCAGCTGCAAGTGTAGTTGTGGAGTACAGAACTATTGCACCAGTACCAACATTTATTTTTTTGCATCAGTGGTACCATGAGGTCACCACCTGCCTTGTAAAAACATGCACAAGGGAAGAAGTAACTGATAGTGTTACTAGTAGCCAGCATCTCCACCTTACTAAAGAGCTGATAATTGTAATCCATCATTTGATGTTTTCACGTCATTTTTTATTCTTTTAGACCATCTTCCTATAGGCCCACTGACACCTGCTTCACCCACTTTGCAGGTGTCAAGCTTTGTTTGAGAGCTGGTGCCTTGCTGCTAGTCAGCAGCACAGATTTCTTACTGCAGTGGTATGGATACTTAGATGATGCCTTAGCAAGTTCTTAAGTTCCCAGTATTGAAAAGTCCTTCGTGACCTAGCATCTGCTGATCCATGCTTTGTAGAGGTCCAGGTAGCATAGCATGAGTCTTGTGCAAATTTGAAATGTTTTTGGTCTTTGTGGGTACTTCAGAAATAGTGAGCATTACCATTTTTGGTACCACCCCTGTCTGCTGTAGACTCCTGACTTTCATTCTCAGTGCTTGAGCTTTTAACCGGTTGTAGTGAATTGACAAGGGGAACACTTAGCACCACAATGTCATTTACTTGTTCCAGAGGAAAAGCCTCTCCTCTGGCATTGAGCTTAGTCTTAATTTTACCACCACCACCCCGTAATACCAGCTGGTACCATAACTGCTGAAGGAGTGCACGTAAAGTCAAGCCTCTGGGAAACTCTTACATTGTTCCCCAGGACTAGCTGTGTAATTATCTAAATTGTTCAAAACACTTAGAACTACAGCTCTTAACATCTACAACTACTACAACTCTTAACATCAAAAATGAAAGTACACTCTCCTAAAATTATCTAGGTTTTGTTACCTTTATATAAAATAAAGCTTATGTAATTGAAGTCTTTCAACAAGCGAATGTAATACAAATGATTATAGCATACTATGTGCATGACACATTACAATATAAAACAATACCATACTAAAAAAAGAGCCTTCAAAGTTTTCTACAGTTTTGCTAGTTAATAAATCATATATGAAAGTGTGTATTCTTCTGTATTTCTTTCTAGTGTAAACCAGAATATAAGGTGCCTGGCTTATATGTCATTGATTCTATTGTACGGCAGTCTCGGCATCAGTTTGGGCAAGAAAAGGATGTCTTTGCTCCCAGGTTTAGCAATAACATCATTAGCACTTTCCAGAATTTATATCGTTGCCCTGGGGATGATAAGGTATGGATTCTTCTACATTTCACCCTTTCCCCAATAAACCAATTACTACTGTTCAGTTTACGTTAAAAAAAAAAAAAGATAATTTTACAGAATTTTATGTATTGTTTTTCTTGACAGTGCTCTGGGTAATAGATAAATCCTGCTAATAAGAGTTGGGGAGAAAACACAATGCATGCCCTCACTCTATTCCCTTTTGGGGTAAACATTGTTATGCAAAGTGCTGAAAAGGACTAAGAAATAATAAGCCAAAGGGGGAAAAAAGGCATGAGATTAAAAAGAAAAAGAAAAGGAGATATAGCTAGAATTAGTTCACACCAAAACCATTCACTGTACCTCTCTGTATCTATTTATCTGCCCTGCTGTATTCTGTTATGTTCATACACTGTTTCATATGTTGCCTTTCATTTTTTAAATTTCTCATCTCTCTCTTTCTCTCTTAGGAATACATAAACTTATTACAATCATGACTTTCTTCATCCCCTTCCTTTCAATACATAACATCTTCCATCATATAGTAGTTTTGCAACGTGATCCTCATTAATTCTCTCTGTATGACCAAACCATCTTAATGTATTTTCGTAATGGTCACTCTGTTTTGTATTCAGTCCATATTAATTCACTACCCACTTAATGGTGGCCTTTTCTCTTCTTGTTATACAACACACCTTCTTCAAGAACTCAGTCCTTTATCAGTCCTTTATCATTTATTAATAACTTGGAATATTCCGTTTCCCTTGACAACACATCTGCCTTGCTCTTCAATACATTAATTTTCAGGTCCATACTCATACAATCAAATGTCTGTTTATTTTGGAAAAACTAACAATATATATTAGTATTTTCAAACAAATACATTTATAAAATTTTCCAGCTATTTTAGTAAAAATTGGAAAATGTGTACTCCTTTTGATACGTGGAACAAATGAAAGAAGTATAATTTTATTGGGTAGTGAATTATAGAATGAAAAGAATATAATTGTTTATTGGTACTGGATTATCATTTCAATGTATAGCATATGGGCCATATTTTTCGACCCCATAATGAGATCACATGCAATGTCTTCCTTTCTCCAAATTAAAAAGCATATACATGCTCTACGGCTCTAACAGGTGCTATGATGCTGATTTTGATATGTACAGTTATTATATAATCAACATTGCATAATATATTCATAGCAAGGAAAGCCAATAATACTGTTCTTATAGAATGGATATGAAATTAAGCATGAGAGTGCCTCAAGTCATATATTATGTGTGTAGCCGAGCTGAGCTCTATAAAAATGAGAAAAAGAATTTCTAAGGTTCTTTGGAATTTAAAATAACAGTTTAAGCGGAATTCTAAACCAAAGATATTTAAATTGGGTGGAATCAAGAGTCCCATGAACTAAATTTACTCAGGCAGTAGGACTTAGGACTTCTCTTTCCTAATCCCCAACTATTTTAATGGGTGCATGAGGAGCTGCAGAGGAAGGGGACATCACCCTTTTGTTTTGATGGATGGAAGTCATTTCTGTTCTTGCCTTCTAAGAATTTCGTGGCCACTGCTAGAATCATTCAGAATCTGAATCACTAGATACACTAGATTCAAAATAGATCACTAGAATCATTCAGTGAAGTCATAGGAATGAACTGAGAAATTCTGGTCCAAATTGAATAGTCAGTTAATTGTATCACATTGACTATTTTTGATTCTCTGAAACAAGAGAATGCATCTTTGCTGATAAGGGCTGGAATGTGCCATCAGCTCTTCACTCATATATCTTCCTTCTTCCTGCTTGCCTCATTCATTTATGACTTGTAACAATAGTTGATAATGATATCTGAGTATAGTCAGCTGATTAAGGTTTATCTCCAGATCATGGTTTGAAGAGTATTTCAAATCATGGTTTAGATATTAGCAGTAGGGTGATTGAGATATTGGCTGATTGAGACATCATAAGAAATAGTGTTTAGGTATATCAACCTAAGAAAATAAGAGGAAACTGATGTTCCTAAGTAGCGTAATAACCAGAGGTTTTGGACCAGTCTAAGTCTGCTTACTCAGTGACAAAGGATTGTTGTCTAAAATATTTTGAAGTTTTGATATTGCCAGCCCAGTATAAGAAGGGCACTGAAATCAATAACACATTCCTGATCCTTGTTACCATGATAAGGAGTATTGTCTAAGTTGAACATAGCATCAGTTATTTTATTTTAAAAACTGTTTAATTTGGAATAAGGATTTGTATGATGTAAAGTCCAGGATTAAATGTAATCTCCTTCCTTCCTAGAGTAAAATTGTTAGAGTTCTCAATTTGTGGCAGAAGAATAATGTGTTCAAAAGTGAAATTATCCAGCCTCTATTGGATATGGCAGCAGGAATTCCTCCTCCAGTTGTGACTCCTGTTTTACCAGGGACAACTGCTACTTTGAGTAATAATACACCAGGTAACAAGAACTTGATCACTATCCTTTTGTCTTACATTCATGACAAATATCCATGTTTAACAACTTTTCCTCTGTTATGTCCTTAAGATTTTAATTTGGCAAAGAATTATTGACTTCTGTTGCATTATTTTATTGCAGTTCTACATTCTTTCCTGATACGTATACATTCTTCCTTGATATGTATGTATTCTTTCCTGATATGTATACATATACATATATTCAGATGTATGGTTTTTTATTTTGTCTCTTTGGATAGGGACTTAGTTTATCCTGGTTTTTGATATTTTATTCTTGGTATTTTGAAATATATTAGGTGTATCATAAGTGAATTATAAAAGGGAAGTAAACATTTTTTTTTCCTAAAAGTATTTGAATCAAATGAGTAATTAAATTGTTAATATTTGCTTGTGAAATTTTTATTGCTAGGAAAACAGACTGTAGTTACTTCAGTATAAGTCAGAAGAGTCTAGAGTTAAGACATATGCATGCGTATCTGATAAAGATGATTAGGCCCAACATCTTTGCAAGTTAAAAGTGCCAATATTTATTGAGAACTTTCTTTTTCCAGTAAGATAGTATATTTGCACATTAGCCATTAGGGGTCAGCATATTCTACAACATGAAGTACATAAATCTAAATGACAGGTTTGTGCTTTCTTATAACACTACAGCCTTTTAAATATAAAAATCACATTTTATAACAGTATGGTAATAATGAGTTATAAGTTGTTGACATCAAAACCACATCTTGAAACCAGAGCACATGCTGTCATGCAATATGTATAGAATCACCAGATTGGAGAAGGGGTTAGCAGTGATTGGGCTGCACAGAAGGCAACCACTTTATACTAATTTCTGCAGAATAAGTCGAGGACACTGCTTTCAGATACACCTTTTCCATGTACTGGACATCATTGGTACTCAAAGTCTTAATGAATACCCTCCTCAAACTCATTAAAAAAATTCCTACCTACATTTCTTACATGGAACTCAGCCTTGGTTTGGAAGATAGGACCTCTCAGAGGATTTATACATGTTCCATCAAAACAAGATGTATCTAGGCCAGATATGTATTTTGAGCTCTGAGTCAGCTTCAGAATTCCAACAAGCACAAGAGATTGTTCTTGCTAATTGACAGCACATGGCTCAACCAAGATGTACACAGGGCTCTGAAGATCTACCTCAAACTCAAACTGGAGAGGTAAAGGGCTGATAGTGTGTTTCTATAAATAGGGAATCAGGGAAGATAACTTCCTGCTCCAGAATTGACAGATGACTTGGAGAATGCATTGTCTTGGTATTCACAGCAAGCACAGAGAATCATGCTTCACAACATTCTATGTGAGGGGTGACTGTGTTGGCAGTCTTTGATAGTAGGAGTACCTTTAATAGACATTTATAGGGTGAATCTGGGGCAGAGCTGTCTATCTTAAAAATATTATAAAGTGGACTTTTCAGATGTGGGCTTTGATCTCCTTGGGCCATGTAGAGTGCTGATCCACCCTGGGAATACTATTGTATTGCTTTTCTGTTAACTCTTATCTCCAGCAGCCAAGAAGAGTAGTTGAACTTAACAGGAAGTACCTTTCTGGTCACCAAAAAATAGACTTGATAAGCCCACTGTACTTAGGAAGAGAAGTAGCTTAAATGAGTATCCTAGTGGCCCAAGAGTTGAGATGCAAAGTACTTTACTGCACTAAATGTTATACACTGTTTTTCTGTTCCCATGTGTCTTGCTAACTGGGAGTTTGTGGTTGTAGTGGAATATGTGATAAAGGAGTTGAATTGCTTTCAGATGAAGAATGGGGGGGATTTATTTATTTATTATTATTTATTATATTTATATCCCAACTTTTATTCAAGGGCTTCAGGTGCCTACATAGCATTCTCTCTTGTTGTTTTTCCCTGTGAAAATCCTGTGAAGTAGGTTGGGCTGAGAGAGTCACCAAGTTATTTTCTGTGACTGAGAATGGACTAGAGCCAGGTCTCCCTGCTCCTAGTCCAGCACCTTAACCACTATACCACACTGACTTTCCATGGTTTATGAATATCATATATGATACAGTAATCATTCATATTCACTCACTGTATTTCGAGTGGGACAGAAATAATCCATAAGCCCTGCCTTCTAGTTAGAATAATTAGAGTTAATCTTTCCTTTCTTGTTAGGTCCATCTTCCAGTGACCAGAAAGATACTTCTCAGTAAATCCAACTACTATTTCAAATGCTTTACTGAGGAATCTCTCTAGATGAAAATATAAATGTGATTAATCTCTTGGCATTTACTATTGCTGTCTAAGAGTATCTAAAGATAAATGTTTATCTTTTTTTTTTCAGGAACTCCAGTGACTCCTGCTACACCAGCCAATGTGATCCAAAGTTTACCTGATCCATGGGTATCTCAAATAACTAATACAGATACTCTTGCTGCTGTAGCACAGATCCTGCAGAGTCCACAAGGCCAGCAGGTAAATAAGTCTATTTTGTCCTCCTCCCCACCTAGGAATATATAATCTGCTTTTCTGCTTCATATAGTTTAAATTGCTATAGAAAAGTTCAAGGCTAATTTAAGTTTGTTTTGCATTTTTAAAAAACTGTCTTTTAGAGGTTGATTTTTTATTTTAAAAGGAGATAACAAATAATATCAATGAAAAAGTAATAAATATTGAATATGAGCAGTTGTCTCATTGCTTTTTGTGCCAAACTTTTCAAATCAAGGCAAAATGCTCTCCTTTGAATGTGACATGTATTGTCATGATGTTTCTTTGTAAGTTCACTGAAAATTGCTTAATTGATTATGTATTATGTGCTTGGAATTGAAGTTTTGATTTTGGGCATTTTGTCATTCCTATCTTTCAAAGCATTTTTTAAGGGTTGGATATGCAGCACATTTAATTAGCAGTGCTAGAACTTATGGTTGATTTCAGATTTTATTTACATTAGCAAAAATATCTTCTTCCAACTCCATTTCAGCTTCAGCAATTAATACAGACATTGCAGATGCAACAACAGAAACCACAACCATCATTACTTCAAGCACTGGATGCTGGTCTCGTTGTTCAGCTACAGGCTCTCACTGCTCAACTTACAGCTGCTGCTGCCGCCGCCAATACACTCAATCCACTAGAACAGAGTGTCTCTTTTAACAAGGTAGTAATTCATAAGTTTTCTAAACAAAATACTTTATTAAAGTTATATTTAGTCCTGCAAACTGTAGAACCTTTTCATTGACTCAGTTCAGTGCTTTTCTCTCTACAATACTAGATGGGAGGTACAGTGGGATTCCATTCACTGCCTAACAAAAACCAAATTGGTTATGAAGGAGAAGTAATTCATTTCTACTCTCAGACTGAAAACTTACCAGTAGAGTTGCTAAGTTCTTATCTGCAGCAATTTCCATAAGAAGATATAAGATGTTCTAATCTTGGAGTGGTGATATTATGAAATTGTCTTATTTAATTATTTATCTTTTTTTCTTTTCTGTTTATTTTATACTACTTTATGTTTTGTTTGTTTTATTTTATCTTTTTCTCTTTTAAGTCTTAACTTTTTAGGCTGTATATGACTGATATGGTGTACAGTTTGGTGTAGTGGCTAAGGCTAGAAACTGGGAGACTGGGAGTTCTAGTCCTGCCTTAGGCACAAGTCAGCTGGGTGAGCATGGGCCAGTCACTCACTCTCAGCCCTAGGAAGCCAGCAACGGCAAACCACTTCCGAAATTGTGCCAAGAAAAATGCAGGGACTAGTCCAGGCAGTTGCCAGGAGTAAAAAAACTGACTCAAAAGGACAAAAATAATGACTGATACACTGTTTTTGTTGTATTTGTCAGTGCTTCTGTGTTTTTATCTTGACCATAATTAAATGAATAAAATAGTAACAGTAATAATAATATACTTCTATCTATGTAACATCTGTCATGAATTTTCTCTTTCACAATCAGTTGACCAATATTAGCGTGATCTGTTTTGTCCTCCTTTTGCAACTCTTGATTTTCTATTGGGAACTAAACATGCGGTTCTAAGTGATTCAGGGTTGGCTTTCTGTCAAACTCTATCTTCTCATTTCTAATGTTGTGAGTAACAGAGTTTCTTTCTTTGTGGCCCCCTGAACTTACAGTTACTATCTGATAAAGATGTTTTATTAAAGTCTGGTTTAACACTTACCCAGACATATAAAGGAATGTAACTATATAGGTTTTCATATGGCTGTTTCAATTGATCCACTGAGGCCTATATATTAGTATATCAAAATAACACAAATCTGGAAGATATGTTTTTTGATGTACATATAGATAATCCAGTTTAAATGTAAACCTGATTAAGTATGGATAACAGATTGGTTTTTGTATTTATGAGTTTGTTTTATGTCTCCTCTAATACATATAAGCAAGGCATAAGATACTGTTTTAGAAAGAATACCTTGCATTATTGGTATCCTGGTATTATAGTTCATTCATTGCAGTAAATATATATCTAAAACATCAAAAATTTATCTAATATAACAAATATAGATAGAAATATTTGATTTTAAATAAACTTTTTTTCTTGTTCTGTAGTGCATTTTTAATACATAATTTGTTTGCTCCTAGAAGCTGATGGATAGGTTTGGAGATTTTGGAGAAGAAGCTGATGTGAATGAAGAGCCCAAAAAGGAAACTCCAACTTCTCAACTGTAAGTCTTAATTTGTTTTATGATTGGAAAGCACTTCATTTTATATTTTAATTGGAACTTATTTGGAAAGTAAATCTGCAGTTAAATCCGATTTTTCCTGATTGTAATTGCCTATCCTGGTCCAGAAGCTTCTCAGATATGCAGAATCGTTTTGGAGCGTTTGTGAGGGTGACTGGTGATGGAATTGCTCTCTCGCATCTCTGCACACTGAAGCGGTTCCATTAGAGAAAAATAAGCTATGGAAATCATTTAAAAGATAAATTATTTAGTTTTCTAATTTTTTTTCAGAGTTGTCAAGGACAAAAGACAAAATAACTTAATTTGTTACCACTGATACAAGCTCTTGTTTTATTTATCCAAAGAGGCTAGACTTCCTTTACTTGAGATGTCCAGTAGATTTTAATCTCAATAAAATATTCTTAAATCATTTTACTTTTCTTACAGCTTTTATTTTACTTGCATGTTCATTTGGATTTTTTTTTCTGTTTGAAAGCCAGTGTTAAGTACTAAGGAACTTAGTTGGAATTTTTGGTGCTTTATCCATATTAAAATGTGGAAAATTTTTATGATTGTGAAATATTTCAAATGTTAATCTTAAAGTTTAAAAGTTTGTTTTTAAATGGCACCTACATAGAATTAATAAAAAAAAGTTTAATATAAAATGAGTTTAGTTTTACATACTGATTTTTTTTTCTTTGTTTCTCTTATATTAGAATCTGAACACGGCTTAGACGAGCTAAATTTCATTTTTAGACACCTGAAATTAGGTTAGGCAGAGAGATAAGCCAGATTTGGATCTTGGGTATCTGCATATTAAGCCAAGAACCTTAAGCTGCTGCATTTCATTCCTTCTCATTATGCAATGATCAATTCTTTCCTGGGTTAATTAACCATAATTTCTTATAATGTGTTAAGTAGAAAACTACGGTTACCTGGGTCAGGATCCAATTATAGATCATTGTTTTGGTTCTTGCTTTATTTAATCTGGAAACAATTTTCTAGTTGAAACAGGAACTGTAGTAACTAGGAAATGTTTAGTGCTATATTGAAAAGAAAGGATCATGTGCAAAATTGATCATAATAGAAGTATGTGTGTGTGTGTGGTTTTAATAAACTGAATTACCTATCAGTCCATAATGTCTTCCAGTAATGAGGTTTTTGGTTCATATGTATAAATATATATTTATATATTTCATATCTCTGGAATATGAAAAATGATTAATATTTCAGAAAATAAATAAAAGTCATACATTATGAGAGCCATTTTGGTATAATGGATGAGGTGCTGGCCTAGAAACCAGGAGACTGTGAGTTCTAGGCCTCCCTTAGGCATTAAAGCTGGCTGAGTGACTTTGGGCCAGTCTCTCTCTCTCTTTCAGCCCAACCCAATTCACAGGGTTGTTGTGGGGAAAATAGGCAGGAGTATTAAGTATGTTTGGCACCTTGAGTTGACCACATAGTGGGATAAAAATTTAATAATAATAATAATAATAATAATAATAATAATAATAATAGATATTTGTTTAGCATTTACTGCTGTAATTTTCAGCCTTCCCCTCTGCGTTCCTCCATCATAAGCCTCAAGTTAGGGATTGGGGTGTGCATGACATAGAAAATGCATTTTTGCTTCAAATGCAAAATAAATCATTGTGTCCTGAAAGTTCTTCCAACCTGTTTCAGGCTGGCCCCAGTTATACAGAAACAAAACTTCAAGTGGTTTGCTGATCTGTGTTTTAGGGGTAACAAAACCTGAAATAGTTTTGGAAGTTTCACTATGCAAAACACTAAGATTCAGACCAAACCTCTTGGACTGTAGAAATCTGGACAATGGCTAAACAGCATCAAACAGATAGAGAATACTTTGTGACTTTGTACTCTTCCTTCAGAATTTTGTAGCACAGAACTGGTATAAGTATTCCAGTTGAAAGTAATATAAGGTGAGACAGGCTTCTTCTATCTCACTAAAATGAAAGCGTTTTAGTAAGTGATCTCTAAAGCAGGGTGACATTCTGGCGAAGAATTCCAGTGAGTCCATTAAGGAGTTTCTATTATTATTATTATTATTATTGCTACTGCTACTGCTACTAAACCTTCTAAATCTATATACACCTAAATCTGATCTTGCAAACTATTGGAAATATTGAATGTCTCCCTTCAATTAGTGTTTAAAGGTTCACCAGCAGATTTCTCTTTCTTTTTTTCTCTGGCTGGCTATCAAAAGCAAACACAAAAATAATTGTTTCTGCCTGGTATATGAGTGGGAAGAAGGGAGAAAGGATTTATTAAGAATAAACCATAATTTAACCATAATTTCTTAAATCAACAACAGTTGGATGGCTTCACTTAAGATTTTAAGTCATAAGCCATGGTTTAAAAATCACAGTGGTTGGGTTCTCCCCATACCAAATAAAGTACATTATGACTTACTGCAATGTGTGAATCCCATTATAACCCCATTAGATCCAGCTAGTCTTCTTGTCCCTTCCTGTTCTCAGTACACTTCGAGAGAACATTAGTGGTTCTACAAAGAGCTGTGATATTCATTAGATAATGAATTCTGAATTTATTTATAAGGTTGTTACTGTAAGCAATAGAGTGACTGTACTAAATATGTATTTTAGGCCCCTTGTATCTGAATCCGTGAACAACTCACTTTTTCATCAGCTAGCTGAACAACTACAGCAACAAAACCTAGAACATCTCCGCCAACAGCTTCTAGATCAGCAGCCACCAAAGGTATGCTATTTTTCTTCTAGGCTATGTGTTGCTAATTCTTCTTTCCTCATTTTTTTCAATATGATTATGCTTCTAACTTTATATATTCAAGGGAGAAGGCAGCTAAACTTAAAAACATTCTGTATATTCTTACATTCTTTAATTTTGGTCTGAAAGTTATGCTTTCAGAGGAACAGAAATACTACATATGGAGTTGTAAAATTTCCAGAAATAATGAAACCAGGAAAAAAACCCATACTTTTATCTTGGATCTTTTTCCCTCTCAGGATAAAAAACAACTTTTGGAAATATTGAAAACAATTTATTTCTAAACTAACAACATGGCTTTAGGTTTCTGAATTTTGGAAACACCATTCAGAAACCTAAAGCCATGTTACTTTAGAAATAAAAAATACATTTGTTTTGCCATCTTGAATCCCCCTTGGCATTAGCTTCTTCCCTTCCCCTCCCTTCCTAGCTCTGTGACATTAGATTATATGATGATTTTTTAGAATGAGAACATTTTATAAGCCTTTATCAAAAAGATGTTGATCATTAATGCAAATAAAGTTGGATTTCAATAATAGGAATTTATGAGAATTTATGTCTGTTATTGATGTATATAGTTTTGAGTAATACAAAAAAATAAGTCTGCCTTTGTTATTATTTACAATCAATGAAATACTAAAAAAGCTTTAATTTCTGTGATCCTATTTATTCATTTGTATCCTACTTTTTATCCCTTCTTTTCCCTTTTTTTTTGTTCAGTGTAATACTTGCTTAGACTTTGTTTACATTTACATTTTAAATTCTAATCTTAACAATCTATTTGAACTTAGAATCACTGTAGTGCTATATATACTGAGGTTTGAAATAAAGGACTAAAGTTTACCACACTTGTTTGCTTGCTTGTTGATATTATCCAAAATTCCAAACATATATTCCATATCATAACTTGTATGTGCTAGTTATTGAATCCCAGGGAGCTCTGACTTTAGTCATATTATGGCAAAATTCATAATATGACGCTACTGGGGCAAAGGTAGGAACAAATAAATATTAATGAGTATATTGTATTAGTTATATATTTAAGAGAAGATTTTGATTAAAAGCACATTGTCATTGTTTATTTTATTTATTTATTTATTAAATTTCTCCCCCGCTCATCTCCCCCCAATGGGGGAACTCTGGGTGACTCACACAAAACATTAAAACCATAAATTTAAAAACATTACTAAAAAAAGGAAAAGGAGAGTCCAA